GTCACCAAAACAAATTCCTTGTATGTGCAAACATACTTGGCAATAAAGCTCTTTCTAACTTCTGAATTCTGACTTGAACACATATTTGTTTAGAAATGTTTTGGACTGTTTGTGCCTGTAAATGGTACTTAGTCTGTGCATATTTCCCTCCTGATCCAGACAAGAAGATCTTTTCACTGAAGAAAGCAATATTATGGATAGAAGACTCCTATTTTAGCTGGAATGAATGGTTTGAAGTCTTGATGGAATTGTTTCTTACAAATGCGCAGCTTTTCACTTCACAAGTCATTAACTGATGGACTGGAGTGGTGTGCATTACTTGTGGATTATTGCAAAGTGACTCTCATTCTGATGGCACCCATTCACTGCCAAAGATCCACTGGAGAGCAAGTGATGCAAAACTAAATTTCTCCAAATATGTTCTGATGAAGAAACAAACTCATCTACATCTTGGATGACTTGAGGGTGAGAAAAGTTTGAGTAACTATAACTTTGTAGTGGCATTCATGTGTGTTCAACTTGTGAATACAATCTCTCCATCAAGATTTGAAAGGACCAAGTACTGTTAACAAACTAGAATGAAAAGATTTTTTGAAAATCTTCAACAGAGATGTCAACTACTAAATCCACAGAAGCACATTTTACCAGCATGCCAGTATTTAGCTAAAGGCTGGCCTTTGTAACAGCTGTTGCTAGTAACACATAGCAACACTCTTGGTTATGTTTCATTCCATAACATCCATATGTGCATGCATACCTCAACATTTTGTAGATGCTGCTGACACATATCCCTCTGGGTCACCGACCACCCCAAATAACTTGAATAGCTCTGGTAATGCACAGCCCTTTGTGGCTTACCAGTCCACATATTTGAAAAAGTTAGAGTAGTGCAAATGTTTTCTTGTCAGACCCTTAAGCATGCTAATGTGTAATTTGTGTTTACAGTGGATGTTAAGTGTGGCTCTCCTCTGCGGTAATACTGAAAGTCACTCACTTAAGGTTTTCTCTGATTGCCGCGGAAGAGAACAAGAGAACCAGGTCCATAAAACATCTGTATCCTCCAAACATTTTTCAAAGTAACCAGTGGAATTTTTACTTAACGTGGCTTCCCAGTGTAGGAAATGAGTGTTTATGTGGTTAAACCATTTTCAGTGGGAAATTTCAATTTAGAGAACTTTCAATGACTCTTTATGTTTGAGATGAGTAAAACCACATTTTATTTTCAATCCAATACCAAAACCAGTTATTTCTTAGATCGATACCACTGATACTACTATTCAGTTAACTCTTTTCTGTGATCTCCAAAGACAAAATGGATACTGCTATTATAGCACTTAAAAGCCATTTTTAAGACAAACATGTAAATGAAAATGAAAATGAAATTAAAATGAAACAGTTTATTGACCCATTAGACTTTAACATATAAAAGAAAATATGAAAAAGTTTGCATATATGTTTTATGTTTATATAATGTTTGCATCCATCCATCAGGATTTTATGGCCCATATCCCTGTTGAAAAAAAACCAGGTATGGTATGTTTTGAAGCATGGCTGCTGGTTTAAGCTAGTCCTTAGTTGGTCATGAGCTAGTTTAAGCTGGTCATGTGCTGGAGCTGGTCCTGAGCAGGAGCTAGTTGCTTAGGACCAGCTTAGGACCAGCACATGACTAGTTTAAACCAGCTAATGACCAGCTAAAGACCAACTTAAACCAGCAGCCATGCTTCAAAACATACCTAACCAGCATATTTTTTCAACATGGATAGTATGATATAGTCATGACGTGTTCATACTTGAGAAGGAAAAAACACCTTCCTTTTATTCAGAGGCCCAAAACTGAGCAAAAATGTGCAATTTGGTGCTGTTAGTTATATGACCAAAACCTAAGATGAAATTCTGATAGCTTGTAATGTAAATCAGTGAAATTATGGATAATAAAGTAAATCTAAGTTGCTTCAGTCCAGAAAATTTTCATTTTGAAATACTAATAACAATATAAAAGTTATTCTTGCACTGCTGTTTCATGAATAAATAATTTTTCTGCAATGTGCTAAAAAACATGACAATAATCCTGACTTTGACCTTTCAGCACTTATGCCTGTGTTCAGATAAGTAAAAGGAAAAAACTGTTATTTTACAAAAAAAAAAAAAGATTGAGCCATAATGACCCATAATGACTCTGTGTCACTCAAGATGATGTCTGATATCTGATGTCACTGACCAAAATAAATAAATTAATAAAATAATAATAATAATAATAAATTCTCCATGAAAACATCTTCAAATATCTTGCCTATATGAAGCTTCATCAGGCTGAAGAGATGCTGTCTCCATGAGAATTGTGCAATCTCAGTGTTGAGTATCAGTCCCATAGGAGCATCTTATAACCGCTTCTCCTGGAATTCCAGAGGCGTGTCCCACCAGGTTTGGTCGAGGACCACGTTTCATGAGATGACTATGTAATCCCAAGCAAACCCTCCCGCTCTGATCCTGTCAACACCCAGTGTCCATCGCTCCTGGAACTGATTTTCTGGTTCCCACTGTGTGACACTTCAGCTTCTGGAAGCGATGAAAGCCTCAGATGGATTCTGTACTGTATAGCAATTTCAGAGAGATGGCAGATGTTTAGAAGATGTAACCTGATTACCAGGCAATATCATAAATCATCAGATGTAATGTAGGTCTCATGTGCTGTAATACATGGACAGAAGGTAGGCTACCCATGATGGAATGTGATGGGAATTTCAGTTCAAAGAGAGGAGAATATTAGGCCATATCACTTACACACTGAATGTGTCCTTCACAGAGTTGTGGTTCACCTTACATGATTGTAGACCTTCGTCAGATTAGACGCTGAATTTAACACGGAGGCTGAGAGGGATAGGCTTATAGTCTTTTTAATGGCATGCACTGAAGATCAGCGATCACATAATTTTCTTTAACTCACAGCTTTCAAAACTGTTTTATGGAGTTTTTGTCTACTGAAAGTTTTTTTCGATAAGACTTTTTTTCAGATGAACATGGCTATGTTGTTAGCAGTACAATCCACTGAACGCACTGTACTTCTATCCTCACAGCCTCATTTCCATCCTGACTGAGATCTATTGGCTGGAAGGAGAAAATATGGTGATGTATTTCATTCGATCTTTATAAAATACTGCACGTTTTCATATAGTCAATATTTGTACTCCCTGTTAGTTGTAAGCTGTTTGATTCCAGAGAACCGAGTCAGATCATTTGTTCATGAATCGGACTACACTGGTTGCACTACATGCTAGTATTTAATACACGAAAAAGAATCAGCGCATGCGTTCTAGAATCGGACTTCTCGCTGTATGTTTTTTGATTAACTAAAATAATTGACTAATAAGAGTGGTTCATTTCTTCGACGGTAGTGTTTGATTCGTTAGAAAGAACCGATTCATAAGAGTCATTAGCAGTGAATGAAGAGGTATCATATCGATCACAAGTGCAGTATGGAGTACCTCAAGGCTCAGTACTAGGGCCGTTACTCTTCACGCTTTACATGTTACCCTTGGCGCTATATAAATAAAGGTGACTTGACTTGACTTGATTCGTTTGGGAATTGGACTAGATTGGTTTGCGTGATCATTTTAGTAGGTGTGCCCCCACTGTGCACGATGAAGAATGCACGTGCGAAAACTAAAAATAATTGTTCTAATTTTATGAGAATTTAGGGAAATCCACATACCAGGAACTATATCCTTGGAATCACATTTAGAATGGTAGTTCGCTCGGTCCGTTCGCCGTGGGACCAGTTGCACCCCTAGCGCCACTAGATTCCTAGCTCTAAAAAGGTTATAAATTCTTTAGTTTTTTTGAGACGTACAAACTTTTTTTTACTATGTTGTGGATTTGGATATATAGTAGTGAACATTTGAAGTGGATCAGAAAAGTTCATCAAAGTTGTCCTAAGACAAGAACTCATTTTGGTTTTAGGTTTTAGGACAACTTTGATGAAAGGGTTTGATCCACTTCAAATGTTGACTACTGTATAGGCTATTTAGACATTCTCAAAGACAACTTTTGGTAAAGTAACATTTTTTTTGTTTTTCAAACCTGAACACAGAGAAAGACATTTTGTTACACATAACATCAAAATTAAACAAAAATGTAATAAAAATGAACAGGAATGCTTAATCAGAGGTTAACCAATCTGATTTCAATCTCTTATTTGAGTCTTCTACCTCAATTTTGCACACCAGTTCATTTGTGTGTGTGTATAATAGCTAGTGTGTTGTGTGTGTGCGTGTGTGTGTCTATGAGTGTATGTAAGTGAGTGTGCGTTTGAGTGGGTGTGTGGTTTGTAGCTACTCTTGATGTTTTAGTGTGTAACTCCTTCCTTGGTGTTTGTTTTATACTGCATTGTGGCTGAATTATTGATTTTATTTCGCATTTGCAAAAACATGCTCTGTGTTACAGTGACACTAGCTCATATAGGCTATGTCATATATGTGTATCTGTGGGGAGAGGGGTGTAATATTTTAGAGTGTAATATTAACTTTGTGTAATATTTTAGTGCGTCACCCCTTCAGTGTTGTGCACTTTTTATGCATCGTGAATGATTTGTAGATTGTACAGACAAAAATTCTCAGTATTTTCGTAGTTTTGCGCATTTCCTATTAATTTCCAATGGTGGTCAACACAAGTGTGAAAAAAAAGTTGGTTTTTTTTTACGATTATTTACATTTTTCGAATCGAATCTATGCATTCCGCTAGTTTTTCGAATCGATGAAGTAGCGATTTAAAAAAAAAATAATAAAAAATTCCAGTCTAAAATGACCGAACAGCACTAAAAGGTTAATGAGAATATGTGCTAATCAAGCACACTAAAACAGATAAAACAGCCAGTCAGATCATCCTGAAGGTGTACGTCTGAATTTTAGAACAATGGGTTAAAGTAGGCGGTCTGTAACTAAGGAGGCGTGTCTTGTGCGTAAAGGGGGCGGGGCTGGACGAGTTCCTCACTCTCATGTGTTTGAAGCAGTCAGCTGAGCCCAACTTGTGCGGACGCGGCTCTAACATCGTACAACATGCAGGATCACAAGCAACACGTTTAACCCTGTGCACTGTTTGTCATTCCAACGTGTACAGAAAACAATCCAGTTAAACACCCTCTCTTTTAATTCCACTTCGCCGTTCTTTCCCCGTGAAGAATACCGATTTGGAGGTGAGTATTCCAGATTGTTTGGATGGATGGGGGGTGTGAGACAACTTATGGTTTCGTGTTCATGCTATATCTATACGGATATAATTTTGAAACATGCATTTATAAAGTGTTTTGAATGTAATTTACTGTCAAAACATACCAGTCAACAGAGTGGCTCCCAAATTTCACAATGGGCTCGATTTAAGGTAAACTTGCTATTTATGAATGAGATGCATGCATATAAGCTTTATGAGTGAAACTAATCTCGATCACAGTCAGGTTTGCAGCCGATATATACCGGTAAACTTTGCGCACGCGTGTTTACAAATAACTTCAAGAGTTTATGTATTTATGTCGTATTTATAGATTCACTTCTAGGTCGTGCTTACTGTTAAGTCATCTTTTCTTTAGGGTTGGCAATCGAGAACCGGCTCTTTTTTTTTAAAATAAAATACTGGAACCGAATTATTTTCTTGATGTGATTTTCATGATCTGTTAACGGATCAAATGATGCGGACACCGGCTACTGACAGTTTTTAATGCATTACTGCTCGTTAAAACGTCGCTAGTGGGTAAACAGCGCGAAACACACCAAGTCCTTAACTTACAGTGAGTTAAACACACACCCGGCGACAGTGAGTTAAAGGGGTCATATGATGCGATTTCAATTATTCCTTTCTCTTTGGAGTGTTACAAGCTCTTGGTGCATAAAGAAGATCTGTAAAGTTGCAAAGACTAAAGTCTCAAATCCAAAGAGATATTCTTTATAAAAGTTAAGAGTCAGCCACACCTACCTAAAACGGCTCGTTCTAACACGCCCCCACATATCTACGTCACTATGTGGGAAGATTTGCATAATGCCACCCAAATGTTCACACAAAGAAAGAAGGCGTAACTTTTATTCTCGCTGTAGTATTGTTGTTGCCG